TCTGGTGAAGAATTATTCCCTAATATCCAACCTAAACTTCTCCTGGCACAGCTTGGAGCCATTTCCTCTTGTCCTACTGCTGGTTACCTGAGAGCAGAGACAGATCCCCCCACCTGGCCACGATATTTAATTTCAATAAATTAAATACTAACATAAAATAATAATAATATACTAGTATAAAATAAATTAATAATTATATTCAATAACAGAACTTGAAGGCAAATCTGGAAGCTCATCTTGAAGCTGGATTTTGCAAATGGAAGTGCTGAAGAATCATCTTTAAGTGCCCGATCTTGGTTGCCTTTAATATTGCACATTAATTACACATGGCTTAATAGAGTAATTCTTTTATTTATAATTAAAATCACTGTTAGGGAGCAATAGTGAAAGACTATACAAATAACTTCAGCAAAGCAATGAGAAAATAAGTGAAAAAAAACCCAGTTCCAAAGATAGTGATGAATAGTAAAGAATCAGGGTTTTTGGTTTGGTTTTTTTTTTGCAGATTCGACTATTTCATCTGAAATAACACCTCCTGAGCAGTGGGGTACAGAGAAAAAGAGCAGTTGTAAATTCTCTTATTTTTTTAATGGAAAGCCAACTTGTCTCAAAATCCCCAATGGCTGAAACAAATGGTTATCCAAGTGAATGGAAGCCTAATCATGTACCACAGGTAGTAAATGTAATGTTGTGTTTCAATGATTTTATGGCTAAGGAGCTCATTTGTGTGCTATTTCCAATATGAGCTTTATGACTAACACCAATAAATAGAAGGAAATATGTTCTGATTTTTAACAAAATGCAGTTTCTTATCACAGCAGTTTGTCTCAGTGAAAGCAGTGTCTCCTGTCTGGGGACAAGGTTAGGGCCAAGCTTAAAAAGCAAGGTGAGGTGTATTAATTCTGCTCCCCCCTGCACAAATACACGCTGTACTCTTTAATTGCTCACCACCACCAGCAGCCCTTTGCATAAAGTTAATCGGCAATAAACTTTCCACGAGAGTAAGATTAAAAAGGACTTAAAAAAAAAAAAAAAAAAAAAAAAAAAAAAAAAAAAGAGGCAAAAGCTCCCAGTTGTTTGCCCCGTGCTTTTGCAGGAGTCACCTTTCCCCAGCAGCCACCAAACCACGATTAGCATACGACAGATCACAGCGGGGCCTCTCCTTTTTTAATTTCCTCCCTGTGAAGAAAGTTTCTGCCCTTTCCTTTACCTCCAAGTCGGCCTCTTAGGTTGCATAAATCAATACAGCAACATTAGCTTTGACAGAGCTAAGCCAGTTTGCCACAATTGATGATACAAGCCCTTGTCTGCACACCCAATTAAATATTAATTAAACACGAGCAAACAAACAGAATCTCTCGCCAGCAGAGGACGGGAAAAGCTCTCCTGTGTTAACTATTACCACGGCCAAGCAGGGCCTTGCAGATGAAGGTCTGGAGCTTGCAAGGAGGCAACTGTGGTGGAGGAAGTGAATCCAAAATTTCTGTGCCAAGCTTTCCAAACGCTCTTGTGCTCGGAGGTTTAAGTCCCACAAAGGTGTATCGACATCCTGCCTCCTTGCTGAGGTCACACTCGTGTCCTGGTTCATCCCAGGCCATGGAGGATGTGGATTTATCATGTTTTATAGTGGGGTGGGCTCCCCAGCATCTCTGGAGAGACAGGCAAGATCAGGGGGAATTTCACCTTGCCTGTAGTTTTACACTGCCTGTAGTTATTTCAAGATCTAGAGGTAATTCTGGGTACAATCTAGGTATAATCTAGGGTTAAAACATGGGAGAGAAAGGTTCTCTAGACCAGAATTAACCAAGACAGGTGCTGACAGAGGGATCCACTTACTCCATAATTCAGTTCAAATCAACCTTTGGGACCAAAAAGCCCTCAAATCAACCTTTTAAAAGCAAAATCTCCTTGAAAGGGGAAAAACGGGAGGAGGATAACCAAAGGATTATAAAAATCCTCTTTCCTACCTGCTTGCCAGCTCCACAGACCTGAGTGGATGTCAGCCCATAATGAGCTTAATGTCCCAGCTAAATTCATCCCAATTATTTGCAGTTCACCACCAGAGTGGGCAATTTACAGCAGGAAGTCCTGAACACCATCGTTGTCACCCGTTCAGTCACAAGGGTCATAAATCCAGGATGATGGATCACTCCTTCCTTTTGCTGAGAAAGGGAACTGCCATTTTTTTTTTTTCCCCACAGGCTCAAGGTTAAAATGTTCAAATATCTGTTTGCAAACTTCTCTGGGACACATGCAGAGGGCATTTGTTTGCCTGGCTACAAAGGCAGCAGAAGGTGACAAGAGCTTGTACCATTAAGATTAAAGCACCTGAGAGAGGATTTCTTAGAAGAGAGTTGTCTTCAGATTAAAAGCAGCAATCAGATTTGCGTTTTTGGAGTCAGATTTTCTTTCTTGCAAATTACCAATTGCATAATCTGGATTTTTTTTTTCATGTATTTCATTATTGGTTGGTACAACTAATCATTAGGCACAGAGGTTTCTAAGTATAGGTGCTCGCTTGGGTCCAGATTTGATGCCCCCCCTCAGCTCAACATTCCCACTTGTACCCAAAAACTGCTGATAAAGTTTTGTCCCTAAAATAGATTTGCAGCCATGCCTTGGTGTCAGTTGTGCCTTTAGACAAAGAAGGACACAGATCTGGGCTCTCTGGAGACACAAATGGGGAAAGAGGTTTCTCTCTACGTGGTTTTGTGTTAACGGTATGACTGCCAACATCTCCCTTCTGTTCTATATTTATTTTCAAATTCACATACAAGTGTGGAAGTACATTTTCCACAGGTATTTTTACCAAGATTCCTAGGCCCAGCTGCCTAGAATTCAAGATAGTAAAGGTCTTATTATTGCACTGGTGGGAAGGAGATGGTTTTGTTTTCAGTTCTTCTTAAAAGGAGATTTCATTTCTTCCACTGAACACCTAGGATCAACAAACCCTTTCCAGTGCAAAACTCACAGATATTTGGCTTATTTTCTTCTGGAATTAAGGATTCTTGATGGAATTGGGGTTGTTTGTTGAGCCTGGAGAAGAGAAGGTTTCAGGGAGACCTCATGGCCTTCCTAAGGAGCTTATAAAAAAGAGGGAGAGTGACTTTTTTACACAGGTAGAGGAGGAACAGTTTTAACCTGAAAGTGGAGAGACTTAGATTAGATATTGGGAAGAAACTCCTCCCTGTGAGGGTGGTGAGGCCCTGGCACAGGGATGGACAGAGAGGATGTACAGTCCTGCTGGATCAAGGGACCTGCACAAGTCTCAGGGCTCCCTCCTGCTTAATCCCAGATTTAACAGAGTGCTTTGTGAGAATATGAAATTCTCAAGTTTAATACATGATATTAAACATAAGTCTCATCTGACATAAGACAGCAACCTTTTCCCACTGGGTTGTTGTGTCCCCTGCAGACACTCACCTCTCACTCTGGCAATATTCAATATTCACCCCTTCACAGGGAGTTTGTAAACCACCTCCTTAACCACAGCACAGACCTCAAGCCTGTCTTTTTAAAAGTTGGTGCCTCAGAGTTATTTTGCACTGTTGATTATGTATTCTGTGCCAGCAGCACATAAAGCTCTAAAGATCATCATTGTCAGTAAAAGTCTCATGCATGTAAACAAGGACTGAACTTGCCTGTTATTTAAGAACAGAGCTCAAGTCTGCTTTTTTGATCCAAGCCTTGCTGCTCTTACCATTTCTGAAGGTTAAGACAAGTCTGTTCTTAAACAGAAAAAAAGAGGTGACACGCACAAAATCAAATTCTGATTGCAGTCTGGTCTCCAAATCTGCAATTTAATTTAGCTGTTATTTTGTAAATGTCCTACTCGTGCCACAACTCACGGTGATGTCCTTGCATAATAAACAGCAGGGCATTTAAAAAGGAAAATGGTAAAGTGAAAAAGCAAATCACAAAAAGCCCAAAGAAAGAAAAATCCAAACAAATAAAACAAAAAACACACGTCACACCACACCATTTCTGCTGCTGCTGCTGCCTTCGTCCTTCCATGCTAGCTGAAACCCATCCGAGGTTCACACAGACTATTTAAAATTGCAATTTGCTCACAAGAAAGCCACCATTGATAAACAATGCAGAAAGGACAAATCCAGCTGTCCCTGACCCCTCCTCTGGGAGCTGCAGATTTAAGGCCCGAGATATTCAGTCAAACTCCTTCATCCATCAGCAGAAGACACGGAATGGACCCAAAAGCAGAGGACACAAACTGCAGGGTGGTCTCCTCTGTCCCCACCACGTCCACACCTGAGTGAAGAATTACTGTCCCAGTTTCAAGGAGTGGAAAGGGAAAAATATTTCTCGTGCCTGAGGGTGTTGCAAAAGTAAAGGATGGAAAAAAACAGCCCCAAATTACCTCCACAAAATCACACCGTGGTAGACACAGGAAGAGAACTGCAAATTTCTGCCTCATGAAGTGGCTCTAATGTGTGTTTTATTTGGGCCTGCTGGATTTCACTGGCACTTGGAGATTGGATCAGGCTCTAGGAAGCTTAAAATATGGAATTTAATATAGAAAGACAGACATCTATTTTCTTATTAGTTCCAAATTCAATAACTAAACCCAGCTCCTATAAAAATCTTGAATTCCAGCTGTAGCCAGACTTTTTCTCCTGTCTGCAAAGAGCAGCAGAACTGAAAATACCCAAACACATCATTTAGGAATAAAATAGGGAATGATTGTTTAAACTTAAAGATCAAATTATATCTATGGAGCTGTACTGGGTTTTCAGGGTGAGGTTTTGGTAGGGGAGGAGGCTACAGGAGTGGCTGTAAAGCTTCTCCCACGTCCAGTGGAGCCAATTCCAGGCAGCTCCAGGATGGACCCACCACTGCCAAGGCCAAGCCCATCAGGGCAGTGGGAGCATCTCTGGGATAAAATAATTAAGAAGAGGGAAAAGTTATCTTGCAGGAGCAGCAACTTTGGAGAGAGGAGTGAGAAATGGGAGAGGAACAGCCCTGCAGACCCCAAGGTCAGGGAAGAAGGAGGGGCAGGAGGTGCTCCAGGCACCAGAGCTGAGGTTCTCCTGCTGCCCATGGGGAGGCAGCTGTGCCCCTGTGATAATTCAAATTATTAAATAGATTGACAAAATTATTAGCTTAGATTAAATGCAATATAAAGCCTATTCTTGTCTTCATAAGTATTTTACCCTTCTGTAGCAGTTCTCACAGCTGTGTCAAACCTGGGAGTTCTTCAGTCTTGCAGCACTGATGAAATGGTTTTGCAGCTAATATATTCACAGGCTGAGTGGCTGTAGGGTTTAAAAAAAAAAAAAAAGGGGAAAAAAAAAGGTCACCTCCATCTTTTCAGCATTAATCCATGACTGAGCACATGAGAAACAACTCGGTCATCGAGGTTAAAAGTAGATGTGTTCAGATGAACTGCAAGCAAACTTCCCAGTGTAGTGCTAATTATAGCAGGCGTGTGAACAGCTAGTAAAAAAGGGCTTTTTTTTTTATGCCTTTGTTATAAAATATCTTCCTGCCATAATTAGGAGTCTGCTCAGCAAGTGGAGGAGCAGAGACATCGCTCTGCCCCAGTAGAGCTCCTGACACTGCTTTACCAGCTTCTTTCTGGCTGGAGGAAATTTAAAGGAGGTTTAAAATGAAATACTGAGTGAGGGAATGGAAAGAAACAAGAATATCTGATTTTATTTTTTTTTTTTTAGTTTTTTTAATTTTTTGCTGAGTGATTATTCAGAGACACAAAGGCTGACAAACCATAAACCATAAAGTTTAAGTACTTTAGTGGTTGCTTTTACCTATATGGAGTGTAACTCTGTAGCCAGTTGCCCACAGTAGTAACTCACCTTAGTTAAGAGCAAATTTAAGCACTTCTTTTAACCTAAAATGTCATTTTTTCGGCCCCAAAAATGGGGAGGTTTGGGGTGAAAGTTCCTAAGTTTGGGGGTTAATCATTTTTAATGGGGGACTTCAGGACATGGGGGGATATTTGGGGAGATTTGGGGATTCGGGGGGGGGGAACTGGAGATATTTTGGTGCATTTGGGGCAGTTTTTGATAGGATTTTGGGAGGGTTTGTGCGATTTTGGGGAAATTTGTGGCATCTTAGGGGCATTTGTGGAAATTTTGATGGGATTTTGTGGGTATTTAAAGTGGATTTGGGGGGAGTTTGGGGGGATTTTGCTGAAATTTTGAGTGGAATTTTGATACAATTTTGCCGTATTTCAATGGGACTTTGGGAGATTTGGGGAGGGGGAGGTTTCAATTGGATTTGGGGAGGTTTGGGTGGATTTGGGGACAACTTTGATGGATTTTGAGGGATTCTGCTGGCTTTTTGCCCCTGGGGACACACCCACACTATTTCCCTGACTCCACAGGAGCTGTGGGTAAATGGGAACAACTCCAGGCCCTCAACCCAACCCTCTCCAGCAGTGGAAAGTTTCTGTGCTGATATCTGGGGGCACAGGGCTGATCTTTTTGTTCCATGACAAGAACAGTGTCCTGTGATTTGTGATTGCACAGGGACCCCAACACTCCATTTCCCTACAAAAACACATAAATTTCCTCCAGAAACCTGAGACCTTCTGCCTCTTAAATCAGTTCATCATCCCCTCACACAGAAGGCATTAAAAATCTGACATTTTATATTGCAACCTAATTAAAAATTTTACATATTTCAAGACTGTTTATGATATTTTGCACAAAACCACTTGTAAAACATCATGTTGGGAAGTTTCTTTATAGATGTCAATGGGTATTTTAATAAAGCATGTGATTTAATGAAGCATTTACTCTCTTTTTCCATGAAAGAGTAATTGAAATGTTAATTCAAATTGGATTGGACAGATGCAAAACCTGAGTAATTGAATGCAAACAAAAGAAGAGGAGGAGGAGGAGGACGATGCCAAGTTGAAATCTTCTGCAGAAACAAGGGAATTGTGGTTATCATTCCCACTCTTTAATATTTTCCTAAAGGACCTGGAAGGCTGAGAAATAATTACATTAAGAAAGCTGGCAAATTAATCTGTTTTGGGAAACATGGCTAGCACCAGAAAGGCAAAGAGTGGAGAAATGGGGAGAGGGAACAAATCAAAAAGGCCTAATTTGGACACATCTGAGGTTGTGGCAACATCTTAAATAATACAGGCGGTGGAAAATTATCTAAAACATTTGAATAAAGGAGAAAATAGAGAAGAAACAATCAGCTGGCAGTGATGGAAACCCAGTTAGAGATAGGTGGAAAAACAGGGTTGAGCACTAACACGTATAGAGCAGCACATCCACACTCCTGCTCAGCAGAGGAATTGCTCCAATAGGAATTCTTTTCTCCAAGAAGATTCCTGGAGCAAATTTCCAGGAGCACTATGGAGGAATTCCAGCCAAGAGAAAATGGGAACACATGGGAGATGGATGAGATGTGATGGGTAAAGGCAATCAGACACTTGAGTGCTTTGTTAAAAGGGGCCTCAAGGACTAAAATATCTGTGGGAAGAGAGAAGAATTAGTTTACAGCACCTTATGTATGTTTGTTTTTTTTTTACATCAACCAACAGCTGAACTCCCCTTAGTCTTTATTGCAAGGTAGGGGTTATTATAGAAAATGTTATCCCAAAAATGGAACGAACCTGGATCTCTGAAAGAAAAATGAGCGATTCCTCGTGGGCAGCTGAACCGTGGCATTATTGAATAAAGAGGGAAAAAATGAGCAGAGATTAATGGACTGAACAGCCATAAAACTTCCGTGAAAGTCTTCTCAAGGAGTGCTGGAAGCTTAAAGGAGCCTTGAAGAGGTGCTGGGAAGCGGAGAGTCCTTTTGCTGGCAGTTGGGCTTGCTTGCATCATAAATCTGCTTCCCAGCTACGAATTACAGCTTGGTATTAGATAATTTGAAGCAGAAAATTCAAACATCTTCCCCTATTTTTATGTATGTAACTGGCATCTCAATCAACAAACGTAATTGCTTGTTTTAAAGAACATTATAAATCACTCTCCCCTCTCCCTGCAGTTTTCAGAAGAAGTATCAATTTCTGCTCCTGATTTTTGAAGCTGACACGTTATTAGCATCATACATTATGTCTAAAACAATCGGAGGAAACAGAATTGATAAAACAGAAATAGAAAGCATCCAGAAATGAAAAAAAAACTAACCCAATAACACGCTCTGAAACATTCATCAAAGCATATTAGCAATAAATTTTAATCAGCAGTGTGTCACTTCCCATTGAGTGAAAGCAGAGAGGCTCTGCTGTTCCCACTTACTGACATCATATAATCAGCATTACAGAAAAACTGGTTATCAGGTGAACTTTCAACTTAAATCAGAAGAAAGTAACAGGATAAAATGAAAAGTGAAATGGGGAATATCAGTGCAGAGGAATGGATGGCCAAGAAGCAAATTGCACCAAGCAGGTACAGCTACCAAAGAGGCATTAAAGAGCTGGAGTGAGGGTTCAGCCCTATGGAGTCAATGGAATTTTTCCCAGCAGCAAAAGGCTCCTGGGGTGTCCCCGAGGATGTTTAAGGAGCCAGGCAGGCAGCCAAGGGTGCAGTTTGGAGCTGATTTGCCTTTGCAAGGCTTCCTGAAAATGGGCCCAGGCAGTGACTCGGGAGAAGTGAAGCATCCTGAAGACTTCCCCAGGTCAGCACTGACCTTCCCACCTTGGGATCTACTGGGGAACTGAGCCTTTAGCTGGAAACCTGTCCCAAAAACGAGGGCTCTGGGATGCCATGATGCCATTCACAGCCAGGCTTCCCAGCTGAAAGCAAATCGTGGTTACAAAAAAAATCCCGCGGTACAAACACCAATTAATCTGCAGAGTGCTGTTGGTTTGTAACAGCACTGCAGGCAGAATGGGAGCTTCAGACAAAGGGCTGTTAGGGAGACCCTCCTGCTGAGCTACAAGGTGAAGAAAGGACCCCCTGGCTTTCCAAAATCCTTCTCAGAGAACAGTCTGGGTGCAGCTGGATCCAATCCTGGTCCCATAGTTGTCTAAAAGAGTCTATAGGTGTAATTTAAGCTTTATGCTTAAAGGATTAAGGATGGAAACCCAAATACATTTATGTGAATAAAATAAATTATTTATTTAAATTGATGATGATGATAATGATTAGACTAAGAGATCTTCATCAGAATTATTTACTACACAGTACAGGGAGTTCTAACTATGAGTATAATGCATTATTTATTGAAGCAATGATATTAAAGCCAGAAAAACAATTATCAAGTAGAGACTGATGTCACTCACCCATCCCAATGGACAAATAGGAATTGTTGGAGCTCCCTCCACTCCAGAACAGTAAAGCAAAGGGTAGTTTGCCCTTTTCCACCTAAAACCAATATTTTAAGGATGATAACTGAGCAGGACAGGTATTACCAGCACAGATATTCTCAGCAGAAAGAAACCGTTTTTCACAACTCCATCTTCTGCCATTTGAGGAACAGAAACATTTAATTTTACAACTCATGGCAAAGTTTTGACTCCAAGAACCTGACTTTGAGAGTCAAAAGATCTGCATGCAAGAGATTCAGACCTTGGAGAAATGCTCATTATCTTTCACCTTAGCACTGCTATGAATTATTAGCAGTCTGTCAGTAAAGTGTGTTCTGCCATAATCCAACTTTATGATACACACAGAGAAGGTTCTGAATTATATCTGTACAGCCAAGCCAAGTATCACATAAGATCAAATATTCACATTTTAAAATCCATTCTCTTATTGAATACTTACAGCATTCACGCAGGAAAACACTGACTTTTTCAAAAACATGGAGCCCAAACTAATTACTTGATTAAAATTATACACTCACAAGCAAAAATCAATTTATATGGTCGAGTGCCTCACTGCCATTTAACAACTTTGCTTTGTTTCTTATGCTCTAAGTGATAATGCTTTACTGATTGAAAGAAATTACCTGCTTTGGATCATTAAAACATCTCAACATTAAAATGCAGAGATCTGATTGAGAGCTCTGCATTTTTCTTTTGCTGAAAGAGTTAGAAAACCCTCTGCTCTGTCAGACTTCATCATACACTGCTTGCATTGTTCCCTCTGTGTGCCCCACCTATGGCTATAATCTTTAATGAATGGAAGGACTTAAAAGAAAAGTTACTAATAGCATTCTGAAGCTATCAATTAAAACCTGAAGTGTCCCTCCTTGCACTGAATGTCTCCCTATATTTCTGAAGGCAGGTAATGATGGTAAGATCCAAAGTAATCCATCCTCAACGACTGCCACTCCCTGGCATTTGATTGCCTCGACACAGCAGATAAATTCCAGTGGCTTCACTCCAATTTGAGGCACACGAGTGTGAAGAGCACGGGAATAATAAACCCAGTTGCCTTGGAATGGCTCTGCACGTGGGAATGGCTGCAGGTGATGCCTCTTTTTGGGCTGTTAACACGGGCAAGTGGGTCCCACCTTTGCACCGAGGCCTCTGTGATCACAAAAGAATTTAAAATAATCCACAGACACCTAGGAACAGAGCTTAATATCAGGGCTAGGCAAATAGCCAAATATATGTGCTATAAGCTGATTAGCCACGGGCTTCCCTGAAAGGCAGTTTTAATCGAGGGTACAAAGGAGCCTTCAGACATCCCCACCTTCATGTTCACTGACTCCACCTTGCTGAAGAAGCTGGCACAATTTTCTCCTTGCCTAAAAAACATGTCTAAAAAACAGAACTGAGAGGAATGTAAACCAAAGCCAAGGACAAAAGGCAGAGAGGACGTGAAAATATTTGCCGAGAGCAGAAACCGAAAAGAACAGAGAAACGATGCAAAACAAAAGAACTCGTTAACAAAATCACCCACAAATAAAGGTTAAGCAACAGTGAAAAGCTTTTATCTTCACCCTACATGGAAATCAACTCTAAAACTCCCTCTTGCTACAGGAAGTGCCAATCCCCCTCTACATGAAACTGTCCCTTTTTTGAAATTCTCTGCTCCCCAAGGGAACTGGTCCCAGGGAGGCAATCTCAGATTATGGCTAATGTAAAAGTCAATGGATTTGCAAGGGGGCATTCTCTTTTCATCAGGATAAATCAAAGATATGGTTTCAAAGGGGAAAAAAAAGATCCTACCTGCTGCATATGAAAAGACCTCAAGCATATTTAAGTCTGTGCTGCATCACAGCTCACACTGTCCTGGGCCTGCCAGCTCTTCCCTGTGCTTGTCTTTGGAACAGCCACAATTCCTGCTGTATTTCAATCTTTTCCCAGGCCCAGGATTCAAAGCTAAAAGAAGAATCATGAGAAATTATCTCCCCAGCTTCTCAGCCGAGGACGCTTTAACTTCAACTTGAGGCTTTCGGCCTCAAAATCAGCATTTTGGTGTTTCCAGAGGTGTGAGCACACCCTGTGGTTCCCTGGACATCCATATGGACAGGGGGCCAGGCCACTTTGGAGATCCCACCTACTGCAGGTCCAAACCTGTAAAGCAAAGCCAGGGAAGTGTCTCCTCTTGAGCCCCTGTAGGGGAGCAGCGTGGAATCCTCAGGGCACACAAAGTCAGTGTCACCCCACTTTAAAACCCGAATTCTTTTCAAGTCTGAATTGCTGGAAAATGAGCTCTAAGCCCCTGGAATGCAGCTTGGATTCCCAAACCCTAACGAGGTTTCATGGTATTAGCTCCAGTACCCTAGTGTACATTTTATCTCAGATACACCTATTCCTTCTCTCCACAGCCCTGCAGTTGTAGCTGAACCCAGGATTTCAACTCACTTTGAGTCAGAATCTACCAGGAATCTCTTTTTCCTCTCATAGTCCCTCTGCCACGTTCCACTTCCAGAGGGATGCAAATTAATTTGGGATTAAAGCTATTATAAAACCCAGTACTGCTGCATAAACCCACAACCCATTGAATAGACAGCAGGTTTGCAAATTATTGATCATCATTTTCAGTCTCCTGGGAGCAGGAAACAGGCTCATTTTATGCACAGAAGGTAAAAGTTCCTATTTATTCTCCTTTCATTTTTCCTCCTGTTAGCCAAGTTGTCTTATTGAAAGCCTAAACCGAAGTTTTTACCCTTTCTGATGCTCCAATATGTCAGTGTCCTGGGGTGAAAACTTCTCCCAAGCCTGACAAATTATTTTACTCGGTGACTTTTTCCCTGTGCAGGCTGAGAGCTGAGAGGATCTGGGCCAATTAGGGCACTGCAGAGAAGTGCTCTTTGCCAGGAGCAGAGAGGAGAGGTCAGATGCCACGGTGGAACTCTGAGCATCCCTCCACCAGGTCAGCTGGAGCTGCCCTCCTTATCTCCACAAACCTCTTCTAAAGGCTCCTCTTTCTTCTTTTAGCAGCTGAAACGGGCACGGAGCAGGTGCCCCCCAGATGTCCCGGGGACTCCTGTGGTTGTCCCGTCTGGAAATGTCAACCCTCTTCCCTCTGGCACAAAAACACCCAACTGAGTGACCCCAAGGACACACCAAGCTAATTCTGCCGTTTATTAGCCTCATAAATATTTCTGAATACTCTGCTCCTTGCATGTAACACTTTCCATGCATTACTGCCTGTGGGAATTTAATGAGCTCTCCATTAAGCCCTGAATTCCCTTCCCTTTCGAGCTGGGATATCCATCACACTTTGCCACAGCTCCCCTGGTTGGTTTAGGAAAATATTTAAACCTCTGACCTGTGTCTGTTTTCAGTGACATCAATAAAACCCTGCTTAACTAATTCAGTGGAATGTCACAGAATCACAGAGCCATGGAATGGTGTGAGTTGGAAGAGACCTTAAAGCTCATCTCATTCCAACCCCTGCCATGGGCAGGGACACCTTCAAGCAGCCCAAGAGAATGACACCACCAGAGTTTCATTCTTGTCAAACTTGATCTCAGTCACTCATTAGGGCATGGGAATTTTTATTTAAAAGACAGACAACCATATCAGACAGAGATAAGGAGCAAATCCCATCAAATTTCTGAACACAGTCGGAAATAAAAACTAGTAAATTATGGTAACCTTTCAAACAAACAGGCATTGCTTAATGAAGTTACCCAAAAAAACCCAAGGGAGATAATATGGGAACCATGACAAAAATACCAGCACTGTTTAAAATCAAATCTGCATCACATCACTTGAATTAGATCAGATGTCAACTAGAAGTGTATCAAACACAAAAAGTGATAATTTTTTTACTTATTAAGTAGCATTACTTGTTTCCTTTTCCTTTCCACTGTTGCCCAGTGTTGAGAGAGAGCTGCTCATTTCACAAGACAATCAAATCATCAAATGGTTTGGGTTGGAAAAGGTCTTAAAGCCCAACTAGTGCCACCCCCTGCCATGGGCAGGGACACCTTCCACCAGCCCAGGTTGCTCCAAGCCCCGTCCAACCTGGCCTTGGACACTTCCAGGGATCCAGGGGCAGCCACAGCTTCTCTGGGCAACCTGTGTCAGGGCCTCCCCACCCTCCCAGCCAACAATTCCTTCCCAATATCCCAATATCCCAATCTAAACCTACTCTCCTCTCCTCTGAAATGAAACAGCTGAAGGGCAGAAAATGCCAAGTAAAGAAATCCCCTTAGGCAACACCTTCACACAACATTTTGAGTTCCTTTTAAGGGGAAAAAAAACCCAGAAAACAAAGTATCATGGGCAGATTTCCAGACCTGAGGGGGAAGGAAGAAGAGATGCTGATATTTTATCTGTTCCATGGAGGTAACATAAGTAGGTTGAATGTCTTACTCTGCCCAAGTCTGAATCCTGACTCCTCTAAAGGCAAGAACCCCTTGGCACAGCCTCAGACACATTTACATGCAAGGAAGCTCCTGCTAACACTGCTTAACTTTACATAATAACCATCTACTGCAGGAAAGAACTGGAGTATGGGCAAGTATTCCTCCCCTAGGCAAGAAAATCAGCATTTTAGATCCATTTTAAGTACATTTTCGAGCCTTCAAAACGAAAATGTTCCATTTTTCCCAGTCGTGGGGCTGGGGAGAGGCACCTCCAGTAGTTCTACCCACTTCCCTTGGGAGCACAAGTTCACAAACTGTGGGCAGGAACTTCAGGGGATGGAAAAGATAATTAGAAAGTGTTATTGTCCTTTGTATTGTTTTCACAGCTGAGGTATATATATATATATATATATAAAACCATACATATTAAACCAGGGACTTAATTTACTCACAAAGAGAGTAATCTCTTCTTTTTGTCAGAGAACTCACTAGATTACAAATTTCCCATCAACTTCCCTGGGATCTGGAGTTGTTCTCTGCTTTCATGGACCAAGCAGAGCGAGATGGTATTTTGAAGGAATTCCACATTTATTTTGAGAGATGAAAGGGAAATGTCACTGGAGGAGTGAAACATTAATCTATGAAGAGCTTT